CAAAACGTCGTAACACAATAATAAAACTTACAACGGAGGTGATGCTGGACCTCATGCTACAATGGAAGTTATGCTAATGCCTTGATCGCACAAAAATGTAAGTACATTTCAGACGGTGTGTTCAGGATCGTAGGGGTTTACAGTATTTATGTGAGTCCAATGACCAAGATCTCATTTGCTTACATTTTTGGCGTAACTAGCATATTTGCCTAACTTTTTTTAGTATAATTGTTGGTTGACCACAGCTTCTGTTTTATATAGTTTTACTTTATAAAAAAAAACTTTGTTAAAGTATTATTTCCGGTGTGGGGTCTGTTGTGGTATTTTGCCATTTTCGTTGCACACCTCCTGGGCCACCGTACATGTCAGTGTGGTAAACCATCTCAAGTCTCATTAGTAATCATCACACACTGGTGAAATGCCATCTCCACATTTGACCCGTCCCTGTGAGCTGCAGCAGTGGCCGCGCTCGGGAACTATTTGGTGGTTTAACCCCCAATCCCCTTAAAGCTGAGTGCCTAGCAGGTAGGCATTGGGTCCCATTTTTAAAGTCTGACTGGGATTTGAACCCTGATCTCCCAGTCCCAGGGCGGGCACTTATACCACTAGTAGGCCTGTTTGCACCATCACATCTCAGACTAGAAGGTAAACAGCCTTTCAGTGATGTACAAGAGTCACCAGTAAGTGAATTCTTATATGTTCTGTGTGAAAATGATGGTTTCCATATTCTGGATCAGAATCTTTGTTGGTTCCCAGGGAACAATTCCCATTTAACAAAAAAATCCAAGAGCATAAAGCCTCGTGAACCCCACGGTAATCTCCACAGTGCTCTGACACACACTCACAGACAAAAAAGATTTCGTAAAGAGTTTAAACTCCACTTGCTTGTAATGGTTTCATCCAGGCTCCAAATGTAGAGCAAAAAAAGACTCAAAAATGTTCAAATCACAGCAATCATCCCTTTCAAGTATAGCTATTTGTTAAAAACCAGCCCGTGGAGAGGATATTTGCTCCTGGAACGCATCTGGTGGACCTTTGAATTACACACCGAGGTGTACTCTGTGTTTTTCCAGCTGCCCCAGAGTTATGGCGGCTCGCTCAGAGTATTTCTTGTGGCTCTGAATCCTTTAAAGGTCCCCGGTGGCTCGGGCTGTAATGCTCTCCCAGGTTTGGCCAATAACATGTCAGGAGCTGTGGTCCGCCTCACCTATCATTTCACAACGGCCTTTTTATTACATTGGCAGAGCAATAATGTGGGAAGAGAGGGGATGATGGAAAACACAAAAAGAGATGATAAGAAAAAAAGGAAGAGGGATGGAAAGGGTCACAACCTGATCAGTAAGTTGTTTATTTTTCTTGTCGTTGATGTGGGTTGAACTCTTCACTGAATTACACTTTTAGGACCGAAGCCACGCATGCACGCAAGGTCTCAATGGGCTCACTCTTCCATAAAGCTGGCTGCCTTTCCCCTTGGGCTCACAGAGAACACGGATATAAGCTCCGATCCATAAAACTGACCAACACGTGAAAAAGAGACATCTGCACTCTCACAGCTCGGCCGCGACGAGTTTATGGCGCCGGCTGAGGAAGTCAAGTACATGTAAGCAACAAAATGTGTTCAAGTGGATCAAATCATGGGATTGCTGTTGCTAGGCAACCATAATTGAGGGCCAGTGACTCCTTGTTACACTCTAATGTGATAGGCAGATGTGAATGTGTAAAGAAGTGAGCTGATGCCACTTCTGGCACATGCAACCACACAGGACCGTGCAGAAGATTGGAAACCCCCCCCCCCCCCCCCCCCATGCTTCAATAACTCATGTTTTTCTTTAAGGTAAATGAAGAGTTCCTTTGGACTTTGGCAGCTTAATTTCCTGTCCGATGTCGGTACAGGATCTGCTCGGGTGCAAGATCGGCTCGGGGTCCTTCGACTGCCGATGATGTCAAAGTAGTTGATTGGCTGAACATGAATCTTACGGAAGTTACGCAATCACGTTACATCGTTATCACGTTACGTTGGTCCAGGCAAATTTTTCTGTTGGAAAGATGGACAACTTTTACAAAGAAATCCATCATTACCTCTTTGAAAATACACTTTTAGCATAGAGCTGCATGTATATTAGGGCTGAACAATTAACTGCATGTGCAACTAAATTGCGATGTGACAAAAGGAGATTTTCTAATCGCAAAGGCTGCAATTTCGCAGCGAGTGGTTAGCGCAATGCTAATATACGTGGAAAAACCCATAGTAATGCTAATGCTAATATCACCGATTACATTCTTACAAATTATGAATTAGAAACGTACCAAATGATTACATTTGGAGTCTAATAGAAAGTAAAACTACCATCAATCAAATAAGTACAGACAGGTATTTTAGTAAAGCCAGAACACTTTTAACTCCAGAGTTTTGGCTAGCAGCTATGAGCGTACCTGAACTACACATGGACAAGATGTCAAAAACACTAAACACAAAATACTTCAATAAATGGGACACACTTCTTTCCTGCAAATACAATTTCACAGGTGTTGCTAATACCTATGATCCTTCAAGGGATGTGCTCAAAGAGGAGTTCAACATTATGAATAAAATATAGTGTTTTATTTTACAAATACCATTATAAACACAAACTTACGTCGTAAGAAACATTATTTTAATAACGAAACTGCTAAATTCTTTCCAACAGTATAGATGTGTAGTGTATTTTGTCCGAGTGGGTTTGCCGTACTTTGACGTCATCGGCAGTCGAAGGACCCCGAGCCGATCTTGCACCCGACCAGATCCTGTACCGACACCGGTCTTTGTTTTCTGACCGTAACCACATATGAAAGACACATGTTCATCACCCTGTAAATTACACCGCCGCACACCCAGAAAATAGTCTACACGTAGATTTAACAAAGCAAAGAGGTACAAGCATCTCACTGGATAAATACTGCATCAGTGATCATTTTTCAACAAGCAACAAGTTATTTATCCTCAACTAAAGTCGTCATTTGCATGTTTTTACTGTGGGGGCGTCGGAACGAGTTCCCACAACGTGGGAACAAACATCTCAGCTCTAAAGCCGATCTTCATCCGTATACATCACATGTCACGTCATCAGGAAGCAGAAAATCCATGTGTTCGGAGATCGTTTTGGGCCATTACCGTAAAATAAGAGATGCGCGAACCGGAAAAGCGTCTGCCGATCACAATTCGACAACGGATTACGAAAGAATGGATAAAGCTCGAAACGCGAGGATTCTTCCTGTTTGAAGAGGTGAGTCTCCTCTTTGTTTTGGTTGTTTTGGCGTCTACATCATCCTAGCGCGCAGCGTTCTGCGACTCTTAAAAAACAGTAAAAACGGTGAGAAACGCTGGCAGCGAACAGCTTTACCGATCAGGAAACGGTTGGCAGAGGACGAGTTAAGGAGAGTCAGATCATCGGTTTGCATCCAGCAGAGAAAATGTCTTAAGGAGATTGCAGAAACTACTATGCCTGGATAAAGAACTGACCAACACATTGTTAAAAACTGGGAACCGTGGTCTTGGAGGGAGAAAAGGAGTTGAAATACCATCTTGAAAGGTTGTGATTGCTTAAATGATTGGTGAAATCAAAGAACGACAGTATAACTCTAGGCTGCCTGATAGAGAAAGCCCTATTGAGAGTCAGCAGTCAGACTCTACCATCATCAAAAGTGTTGAAAAATGAATGCAACACTGGATGGAAATAAATGTTGTGGCATTGCAGAAGCTTTCTGATGCTAAAGGGAAAATCAAAGCAGTGTGGTTGATGGTCCAAACTGTTATTGTTGCTATTTTTCACATTCAAATAAATAAATAAATAAATGGAACTTAAAGGGACATTATGGAAGCTTGACAGTCAAAACATGTATAGAAATAATAAATGTCTTCTTCATACATTCTCCTGCAATGCCCTGGTCCTGTAGAATGAGCCCTGGCATTTTTACTGTGATTGCCTGTTTTTCTGTAAAATCACAGAAAAAGAGAGATGCTCGGGTCGAGCAGGCTGCTTCATGCGCGTTCACGCTCAGGCATAGCCCGTAGCATTTGCTATCCGTAGCTTTAGCAGCAGAGAGAGAGGCAGTGCCACTTTGTCGCTGTTCCCAACACCTAGTGACGAACCTAGCTACGTTTCTGAGGACCCTTAGCTACTTTCTGTAGAACTTTCTTCTAGATATTTCCTGCAAATTAGCAACAAAATAGCCATTTTCACTCCGAACCGTTCTTTGGTTTGTCGTTGTTTCAGCTGTCATCAAGGATATAAAAGTTACAGATTGGATGTCACTGGAGCTGTAGCTCACCTAGTAACATGTTTGACTCTCATGCAGCAGACCTGGGTTCAAATCCGGTTGTGAACATAATTTGTCATTTAGAGTTTCTTTTTTACATTAATGGCATATTTTTTTACAGTAAGATGCCCAAATTTTTATTTGAGACTCGCCGAACGGCATTGAATTCACAGATAAAAAAGATGTGGGTTCAACTTTCATTTTGGAACAATTTTTCAAGCAAGGGAAGGGAATGATCTGAGCATGCAGGAGGACTGACCCATCATAAACCTTTGTCGGCTGTGCTGAAGAGAAAGGTACAGAACCAAATTATTTAATTAATTAGCTGCGTGTTCTCCTGTCCTCTGTCCTCCGGGCCACGCACACACACACACACACACACACACACACACACACACACACACACACACACACACACACGGGACTGTCTCAGCTGTTATTTTCATTAAGGTGTGTGCATGTACAGTGTGTACACCTCCTGCACGAGCTTTCTTTTGAAGCTGCAGATACACGTTAGGCCTGAGTGGCGATCACGAGCATAAAAATTCAAACTTCCTTACAGTCCCTTTAAATAAAAAATGTTTATGTATCAATAAAACAGGTTCTTTCCTTGGGTTTCTGAGCATTTCATGACTGAATAATTTATAAGAACGTTTTAAAACAACCTGCAAAAACAATCTGGTATGTTTACGAGCTTCTCTTACCTATCATGGGTGATTCGATGAAACTCCAGGTGTTGCTCTGCGGTAAGTAGGACTGCAGGACACCCGCTGAGCGCCCGGCTTCGTTCACACCCCCAAAAACGTAGATCTTCCCTCCGCACACCGTGGCAGCAGCAGAATGAACCGGCTTAGGAAGAGGAGAAACCGTCTCCCACGTGTTGATTATGGTGTCATACCTGCAGAGGAGCAAACATCTTTTACTTGGATTTATACCAGAGAGAAGAACAGAGGGGCGGCTAGCCAACAGGGAGGTCAAGATTCAGACAAGTTCATATCGACTAGATAATGGAACAGTCACACACCGAGAGGTTACAGAAACACTCGGGTTTTAAACTTCCCTCTGCTCTGAATTCACGGTGAAACACTGGGGTTTGGCTGCAGAGCTGACAGATATAATTAGCCGAATGCCTCCACCACCAGGGAAGATGAAAAAGCCCGACTATTACATACAATGACAGCAATTAAAGCAATTACACAAAACAACATATGTTGGGAGCTACAAGCCATTAGTCTCCAGAGTTGGGCTGCGTGTCAGCGCAGAGTTTTGGACCTTTCTCAATGAGCGCTCTTTGGCAGAGACTTCAAGCTGAAAACTCAAACAGGCACAAACAGACGTGGTGAGATGAAGACCCAAAGAGCCGAAGAAAAACAAAACACCAGTTCACTGGATTGTGTCAAGTCGACGTGTGCGTTTTAACTATAAATCTCTTCCCTTTGTGTTTTGTGTGTGTATACATGCAGATGTGTGTGTGTTGACTTGTGGTTCCATTAGCGCTGTGTGCTAGCGGTGTAATGCCGCGCCTACGGGCCGCTGATCAAAGGCGCCACGCCGACAGCTCTCCAGCTGGAGTGGGCCTTCGTTAAGGAGCCGCAAACTGATCCAGGATCTGTGATTAAAATCATCCATTCAGGCTAAAGCAAACTGTAAGGTTATGAAGTTCATTATTTTCAGCTCCACACAGCTGCCCCTGTGCACAGTAACACCCGTGTTGAAAACGCCAAGGTCGGGTGTTCCTCAGACTGTTTACATTCCAGGAGAAGAGTCCGAAGGAGAAGAAGAACGCTTTTACTTAATCGAAGTACTTTATTTGTGATTAAAAAAATTAAGCAAAACATATGTTGATCAATAATAATCAAGTGAATGATCTGTGGAATAAAGATGTCATGATTTATGTGTTTAATGAAAACAGGACTATTGCACAGACAGACTGATCCTCATCTCCATAGAAACACATGACACATTGTTCCAACCAATCAGAGCTTTCGGCTGCCGCAGGAGAATCTGGCTTGTTGACTTAAAGTGTCCAATCCGCTTTACTAAAACTTATCAACAATTCAGAGATATAAAACAAGGCAACGCCATTTTAAGCTCAGTTCCATTTTGACTTCAGTTCTATTCACCGTCATCCTAAAGAGAAGCACAGCCTGGCCAGATGTGTTTTCTTCTTTAAACTAAGAACTGTGAAGTTGGAGATTTTCGTCGTTTAACAACCAGACGACATCCTTTCAAAATAAGAGCACCTGCTGACGCTGCCGATTGGTACCGGGGTCGACCCTTCAGACGGGCTTTGACGTGCTGCGACCGCTGCTTCGACAGCTCCAGTACACATCCGAGGTTCTTGGACCTGGCATTTCCTGATCTACCTGGGAGCCCCCCCACTGGGTATGTACACGGCAAAATAGCAGCTCATGTCATCACTTTATAAGCCTCGTGATATCTAGTCATAACAAAGACTACCAGATTCAATGACGTCAGCCTAAGGAGTCTGAACCAACCATACACACACACACACACACGCACCAACACAACATCCAAATCCATTTTCATCCATCACAGTGTTAGTCCTGGTAGATTGTTAAGAATTTATAATTAAGAAATTAAAGATTCTCAAACGATCCCAACTCTCTCTCCTTTCTTGTCTCAAAGTCAATACAGAGTGTTTAATTAAACTCCCTGATGATAAAAACAGCCTATCTTCTGATTATAACAAGTGATCTACTTACAGTGTATTAAAATACAACTCTAGATAGTTACATCACTCTATTCCGTTACAAAACCTTAATCAAGGTTAGTGTCTTCATATGAAAGTCTGTTGCCAGCATCCTGTGGACATCCACCACCACCCTGAAACACTTGAGGGATGCTCAGAAAAAGCAGACTTTTACCTAAAAAGTAGCTTTTTTCTCTTCTAATTGGATTTTTCCACTGGGATCAACAACCTTCATTAGGCCACAGGTGTCTTTTATTTTTCTTTTATGTGCTAGTGTAACAGTATTTATTGCTGCAGCTCCTGTGGCATTTGATGTCGGGCTGAATTTAAATGAAACCAGGGAGCACTAGCTGCATCAACCTTCTAGTGAGAAGGCTTTTAGATAAAGTGCAAGAGGAGATGGGCGAATTACCCTTTGGGAATACTCTCCTCGGGGGTCCGATAATGTCCTTGGCAACTGCTGCAGAGAAGGGAAGGGGGGGTTAAATGGACTGTCAGTCTGGGAAGGTGGTGACAAAGAGGCCACTCCAGGAGAGGTGGACTCCAAACACTCACAAGTGCCAATTAGCGTTGTTTAAACACGAACACACACCGGAGTAAGTGCTGAGACGGCGTAACAAACACGCGCGTCTGAGTCTCCAGCTGATGTAATTACCCCTCACACCACATCAGGGGTGTTGCGTGAATTTAAACATCGGGGGTGTCGCGTAAATTCAAGGGTCAGACGGTGCTGAGTGATGCTGATTACACAACCGACAAGAGTCCAACAGGACTGCTGTAAGCAGCTGGTCACCATCAGGAAAACAAACACAAAAACAACTTCGCTACGCCACGTTGGCTGCTGGTGAGCAAATTCCCTCTGGAGATTTTCTGGAGCCCCCCCCCCCTCCCCCCCTCCCCAAAACCCCCAAATTAATAAAAATGGATCATGAGAAGCAGATCGAGTTACAAATCCAGTCGCAGTTGGTTTCAGTGTGAGGCTGCCAGGGCTGCAGCGCCCCCTATGGTGGATGGCAGTAAGGTGTCGCGTAAATAAAATCCAACAGGATACGCCTGAATCGGAGGTGATGAACACAATTATTCAGCTGATTTTGACAGAGAAACTCTAATTAATAGTCCATAGCATTAGAACATAAATAAATTAGGTCTGTGATAACTTCTCACTTTGTGCATCGTAGAATTCTCCCAAAAACAAATTTGGAAAGATTAATTCAAAAGCTGCTTTTTCATGAAGAGAAGGAAAAAGTTGTGGAGTTTCAGGTAAAAGTTGTTTCGGTCTTAGAATGCTGCAAAACCAGCCGGCCTTGATCACCACAAGGGCCTGCTGGTGACCCGAGGATGTAAAAGTTACCTCATGCATGCTGGTCTAGTCCGTAGAAAGCTCTGAAATCAGGATCTTAGAGCGGGGGGCCAGTGTAGCGGTACCAGCAGCAGTAACCCACAGTATGATTATATAGAAAATGCTTCATCATCTATAAGGGAACATTCCTTATAGATGCATGCGCTGTTTGCTAACCCCTCTGATTATGCCTTGTTAATAGATGCCTGATCGATGATGATGCATACATGTGAACCCTGACAGGTTGGAAGTGAAAAGGAATTATCAGATGTCTTAGTCTGACCACTTGTCTTTGAAACATAAAAACCTGTCCTTTATGCGGTTAACCGGTTATCATTGATCCTGTTTGTGATTGTTTGGGAGAACAAAGTGAGGCAGACCCCCGCAGACACAATCTCACTCTAGAGAGCTCTGATCCAGGATGCTGAGTAGTTTCATTATTGGTGCTGCTTTAATACCTCCACCGATGTCATTAAACACAAAACCTCAACGCTATTGACAAACGCTTTACTGCATTCATATCATGGTTCAGACTTATTGTCATTAGTGATCAATTAGAGCTAAATCTGCCTTCTGCCTGGTTCCAACCAGCCATAGATTAATTTGTAAACCAAAGGAGCCACTTCATGTTACATTAGCAGTATGTTTAGCTCCACGACTGAGCTAAAAAGAATGTTTGAGCAAAACTGCAGAGGCTTGATTTGCAGAGATCTGCACATATTAAATGACATAAAGGTGTAGGGTTACGTTTGTGTGGTTTTTAAGGGAGGAGAGGATCACTTTCATTGGAAATAAACCTCTAGACCCTCTAGACGTGTAATTTAGATGAGCAGTGGCATCAGGAGAGGTGGTTTAAAACTTTAAAATACCATAACTTTGAGAGTTTTGTTTAATTATATATATATATATATATATATATATATATATATATATATATATATATATATATATATATATATATATATATACATGTGTATATATATATATATATATAAACTTTACACACAATTATTCAGCTGATTATATATACATATATATAATCAGCTGAATAATTGTGTGTGAATTATATATATATATATATATATATATATATATATATATATATATATATATATATATATATATACATGTATGTATATATATATATATATATATATATATACACATACATGTATATATATATATATGTATATATATTTATATATATATATATGTATATATATATATATATATATATATGTATATATATAATCAGCTGAATAATTGTGTGTAAAAAAATATATATACACACATGTATGTATATATATATATGTATATATATATATATATATATATATATATATATATATATATATATATAAATATATATATATATATATATATATATAATTTACACACAATTATTCAGCTGATTATATATACATATATATAATCAGCTGAATAATTGTGTGTGAATTATATATATGTATATATGTGGCAAGGTGGATAAACCAGGGCCCGGGCAGGATTCGATCCCCAGACTCCCAGGTGAGAGTCATACGCGCTAACCAGTCAGCCAAAAGGACATCCCCTTGGCCAAGTAGCCAGGGCGCATGATCAGTCGGGACATTGTGACAGGACACTCACACTGTCACATATATATATATATATATATATATATATATATATATATATATGTATATATGTATATATATATATATATATATATATATATATATATATATATATATATATATATACACACATATATATATATAATCAGCTGAATAATTGTGTGTAAAAAATATATATATATATATATATATATATATATATATATATATAATTTACACACAATATTATATTC